GCGCGGCACGGGCTATAGAAGAGATGGAGTGATGTGGTACAGGAGGACGTGGAGCTGAGTGGACTTGCCGATAACTGGTACCAGTGGTGTCAAGATCGGCCTCTGTGGAGGAGGCTCGTGAAGGACGCTGCTGGGCAGTTGGAGGCAGTCGCCCTCCAACAACAACGGAGGATGGAGGAGCGACGCTCACAACAACGAGCAGAGCGCCGGGTGGCTAAAGCACAGCAGGTTGGCACAGTAGGGGGCACAGGTGGTGCATCAGCCAGTCATCTCAGTCAGTCGACCCGTGGCACCTGGGTCAGCCCCGTGACCTCCTGCCAGCGGGCGTTCGACACTCCACGTGGCCTCAGGGTGCACATAGCCTGGCACAAGCGTCGTGGTGACGTCACCGCCACTTAGTGGCGAATGGCGGTTGTTGTTGTGTGTGTGTGTGAGTTTGTGTGTGTGAGTCTGTGTGTGTTTGCGTGTCACTGTGTATGGGGAGCGGTGGGTGTAGTGGTTAGCGCTATGCTGCGCTACGAACCTGGCGACCCGAGTTCGATTCCCGCTCACGGCCAACACCGCCAGTCCTGGGCCTCCCCTAGGTCGACTCAGCCTCAACTGAGTACCTGGTGCTGTGTGTAGTGAACATCGCTAGCACCGGGGGAGAGACAAAGGCGGCCGGGCGTGGTGCTGTCCACCCACCCCCTCGTGTGCCACAGTGGCCGGTAGCCTTCACAGGTGCTGATCGCTAACAGCACTTGCCCCTACAGCCCTGATAGAGGCTACACGGGGGATCTTTGTCTGTGTATAGGTGCTGCTGCTACTCGCTACTAACAGCACTTGCCCCTACAGCCCTGTTAGAGGCTACACGGGGGATCTTTGTCTGTGTATAGGTGCTGCTGCTACTCGCTACTAACAGCACTTGCCCCTACATCCCTGTTAGAGGCTACACGGGGGATCTTTGTCTGTGTATAGGTGTTGCTGCTACTCGCTACTGACAGCACTTGCCCCTACAGCCCTGCTAGAGGCTACCTGGGGGATCTTTGTCTGTGTATAGGTGTTGCTGCTACTCGCTACTAACAGCACTTGCCCCTACAGCCCTGTTAGAGGCTACACGGGGGATCTTTGTCTGTGTATAGGTGCTGCTGCTACTCGCTACTAACAGCACTTGCCCCTACAGCCCTGTTAGAGGCTACACGGGGGATCTTTGTCTGTGTATAGGTGCTGCTGCTACTCGCTACTACACACAGCACTTGCCCCTACAGCCCTGCTAGAGGCTACACGGGGGATCTTTGTCTGTGTATAGGTGCTGCTGCTACTCGCTACTAACAGCACTTGCCCCTACAGCCCTGTTAGAGGCTACACGGGGGATCTTTGTCTGTGTATAGGTGCTGCTGCTACTCGCTACTAACAGCACTTGCCCCTACAGCCCTGCTAGAGGGTACCTGGGGGATCTTTGTCTGTGTATAGGTGCTGCTGTTACTCGCTACTAACAGCACTTGCCCCTACAGCCTGCTAGAGGCTACACGGGGGATCTTTGTCTGTGTATAGGTGCTGCAGCTACTCGCTACTAACAGCACTTGCCCCTACAGCCCTGCTAGAGCTAGAGGCTACACGGGGGAGCTTTGTCTGTGTATAGGTGCTGCTGCTACTCGCTACTACACACAGCACTTGCCCCTACAGCCTGCTAGAGGCTACACGGGGGATCTTTGTCTGTGTATAGGTGCTGCTGCTACTCGCTACTAACAGCACTTGCCCCTACAGCCTGCTAGAGGCTACACGGGGGATCTTTGTCTGTGTATAGGTGCTGCTGCTACTCGCTACTAACAGCACTTGCCCCTACAGCCCTGCTAGAGGCTACACGGGGGATCTTTGTCTGTGTATAGGTGCTGCTGCTACTCGCTACTAACAGCACTTGCCCCTACAGCCCTGCCAGAGGCTACCTGGGGGATCTTTGTCTGTGTATAGGTGCTGCTGCTATTCGCTACTGACAGCACTTGCCCCTACAGCCCTGCTAGAGGCTACACGGGGGATCTTTGTCTGTGTATAGGTGCTGCTGCTACTCGCTACTAACAGCACTTGCCCCTACAGCCCTGTTAGAGGCTACACGGGGGATCTTTGTCTGTATATAGGTGCTGCAGCTACTCGCTACTAACAGCACTTGCCCCTACAGCCCTGCTAGAGGCTACACGGGGGATCTTTGTCTGTGTATAGGTGCTGCTACTCGCTACTAACAGCACTTGCCCCTACAGCCCTGTTAGAGGCTACACGGGGGATCTTTGTCTGTGTGTAGGTGCTGCTGCTACTCACAGCACTTGCCCCTACAGCCTGCTAGAGGCTACACGGGGGATCTTTGTCTGTGTATAGGTGCTGCTGCTACTCGCTACTAACAGCACTTGCCCCTACAGCCCTGCCAGAGGCTACCTGGGGGATCTTTGTCTGTGTATAGGTGCTGCTGCTATTCGCTACTGACAGCACTTGCCCCTACAGCCCTGCTAGAGGCTACACGGGGGATCTTTGTCTGTGTATAGGTGCTGCTGCTACTCGCTACTAACAGCACTTGCCCCTACAGCCCTGTTAGAGGCTACACGGGGGATCTTTGTCTGTATATAGGTGCTGCAGCTACTCGCTACTAACAGCACTTGCCCCTACAGCCCTGCTAGAGGCTACACGGGGGATCTTTGTCTGTGTATAGGTGCTGCTACTCGCTACTAACAGCACTTGCCCCTACAGCCCTGTTAGAGGCTACACGGGGGATCTTTGTCTGTGTATAGGTGCTGCTGCTACTCACTACCAACAGCACTTGCCCCTACAGCCCTGTTAGAGGCTACACGGGGGATCTTTGTCTGTGTGTAGGTGCTGCTGCTACTCACTACCAACAGCACTTGCCCCTACAGCCCTGCTAGAGCTAGAGGGTACACGGGGGATCTTTGTCTGTGTGTAGGTGCTACTTGCTTACAGCACTTGGCCCTACAGTCTTTGTTTTATCTTGTGCCAGGCTAGGTGCAGGAGGAGGAGGTCACGTGACAGACCCAGCACGTGCCGTGGGTTGACTGCTGTGCCAGGCTAGGTGCAGGAGGAGGAGGTCACGTGACAGACCCTGCAGGTGCCATGGGTTGACTGCTGTGCCAGGCTAGGTGCATGAGATCACGTGACAGACCCTGCAGGTGCCATGGGTTGACTGCCGTGCCAGGCTAGGTGCAGGAGGAGGAGGTCACGGGACACACACACAGACACTCACAGGGATAACACAATTTAGCGAAACTTTATTTAGAGTTAGCGACACCCTGCATCGGAGCGAGATGCGACATCAACCCCTACCACCCCCCCCACCCCCAAATCAACTCACAAAGCGTTTTATTATTTAAGAAAAGGATTACATTTAACTTGGCTGGTTATTAATATTTTAGTTTTTATGTATACCTAAAATGTCTTAGCAAGCTGTGGGTCCCCGTTCATCTTAAGATTCCGTCCGCCCCATCCATCCCTCGGCCCCCTCCACCTCACCACCATCCTCACCATCCCTCACCCCCCGCTCCTCCTCCTCACCACCATCCTCACCATCCCTCACCCCCCGCTCCTCCACCTCACCACCATCCTCACCATCCCTCCTCCTCCTCCTCCTCCTCCTCACCACCACCTCCACCTTGGTCGATCTCCGCTCCATCCCTCTCCCCATCGCCCCACAGGCGGTGAGCACCTGCCTCTCCCTCCTCACCACAATCCTCACCACCATCCTCACCACCATCCTCACCACCATCCTCACCATCCCACAACCCCCAGCCCCTCTACTCACATTCCACTCCTCGGCCCCCCCGTCAACCCGCTGGACGTGTCCAGCTGGTACGCCGTCGGCTAGCCCTCGTCCCGGACCGTAGACTCTGCCTCCTCCTCCTCCTCCTCCCTCTCCCTCCTCCTCACCACCCACCCACCCCCCAACCTCTTCCTCACCACCCCTCACCCACAACCACCCCTCACCCACACCCTCACCCACAACCACCCCCATCCGGTCACCCTCCACCGTAGTCAAACGCCGGCTTCGCGGCCACGTCCATCCGGTAGGCCGTCCGCTAGCCCTCGTCCCGGACCGTAGACTCTGCCTCCTCCTCCTCCTCCCTCTCCCTCCTCCTCCTCCCTCCTCCTCCTCCTCCTCACCACCTCCCCCCCCTGCCCACTCCACCTCTTCCTCACCACCCCCCTCACCCACACCCTCACCCACAACCACAACCCACCCATCCGGTCACCCTCCACCGTAGTCAAACGCCGGCTTCGCGGCCACGTCCATCCGGTAGGCCGTCCGCTAGCCCTCCTCCTGGACCGTAGACTCTGCCTCCTCCTCCTCCTCCTCCTCCTCCTCCTCCTCCCTCTCCCTCCTCCTCCCTCTCCCTCCTCCTCCTCCTCACCACCTCCCCTCCCCCCCTCCCCAACCTCTTCCTCACCCACAACCACCCCTCACCCACCCCACAACCACCCCTCACCCACCACCCCTTACCCACCCCACCCTCAGCGTCACCCTCCACCGTAGTCAAACGCCGGCTTCGCGGCCACGTCCATCCGGTAGGCCGTCTGGTATCCGTCGTCCCAGGCGTAGACTCTGCCTCCTCCTCCTCCTCCTCCTCCCTCTCCCTCCTCCTCCTCCTCCCTCCTCCTCCTCCTCCTCCCTCTCCCTCCTCCTCCTCCTCCTCCTCCCTCTCCCTCCTCCTCCTCACCACCTCCCCCCCCCGCCCACTCCCCACCTCTTCCTCACCCACACCCCTCACCCACCCACCCAGCGTCACCCTCCACCGTAGTCAAACGCCGGCTTCGCGGCCACGTCCATCCGGTAGGCCGTCTGGTAGCCGTCGTCCCAGGCGTAGACTCTGCCTCCTCCTCCTCCTCCCTCTCCCTCCTCCTCCTCCTCCTCCCTCTCCCTCCTCCTCCTCCTCCTCCCTCCTCCTCCTCCTCCTCACCACCTCCCACCCCGCCCACTCCACCTCTTCCTCACCCACAACCACCCCTCACCCACACCCACACCCTCACCCACACCACCCCTCCGGTCACCCTCCACCGTAGTCAAACGCCGGCTTCGCGGCCACGTCCATCCGGTAGGCCGTCTGGTATCCGTCGTCCCAGGCGTAGAGCTGCCGCTCGCGGGGGTCGTACTGCATGGCGGCGTGCGCCCCCGAGCGCCGCGGGAAGTAGAGCAGCGGCGCCCGCTCGGCGGGGATGCGGGCGGCCACGTCGAAGACGCACTCGACGCGCGAGCGCCCGCCCGCCCGCACGTTGTACACGACGTACAGGGCCCCGCACAGCACGAAGGCCGACTCGGCGCCGCGCGAGCGGCACGGCGTGTCCCACGAGTGCTCGACGGACAGCGTCGCGTGGTCCAGCTTGGTGAGGACGATGACGGCGTCGGAGGAGGAGGAGGAGGAGGAGGAGACGGAGGCGGTGGAGGAGGAGGAGGCGGAGGAGGCGGAGGAGGAGGAGGAGGAGGAGGAGGAGGGTGTCCAGCGACGGCGGCGGTCGCCGCGGATGGGAGATCCGGCGGTGGCGGCGGAGGCGGTGGAGGCGGTGGAGGAGGAGGAGGAGGCGGTGGAGGCGGAGGAGGAGGAGGAGGCGGTGGAGGAGGCGGGTGTCCAGCGACAGCGGCGGTCGCCGCGGCTGGGAGATCCTGCGGCGGCGGCGGCCGGCGCCGGGAGGTCGCGGCGGTGGCGACGGCCGCGGTGTTGGTGGCCGCTTTGTTGGTGGCCGCTTTGTTGGTGGCCGCGGTGTTGGTGGCCGCGGTGTTGGTGGCCGCGGTGTTGGTGGCCGCTTTGTTGGTGGCCGCAGTGTTGGTGGCCGCGGTGGCCGCGGCGGTGTCGACGGCCGTGGACGTGGCCGTGGCCGTGGCCGTCTCCCGAATCTTTCCCTTCCGCCACCGGTCCACGTCTTGCTCCCGCACCGCCGCCTCGTCCTCCTGCACCAAGCAAAGAGACAGACACGGACAGAAATCTCCCCCACAACCCCCTCCACGTAGCCCAGACGTGGGCAACGTTGGGCCTTTTAATCCGGCCCGCCGAACTCGTACAAATATAATAATTATTATTGTTTAATTAAATTTTATCTTTCTCCTGCAATGCCCCCATTTTCCACATTAGATGGCGCACTTTGACCGGGAGCTCCGACGCGTTTTTTTGTATCGTTCACGTCCGCGCGATTTGTTAAAATTGCCTTGCAAATAAATGATATTGCTACCTGTTGAAGGGCAAATCCTTTCGCGGATTGATTTTTTTCACGCGTCGTTGATATTAAGTTCACACAAACACTCCGTCCATCTAGTTCCTGGCCCCGGGGCCCCTCCGTCAAATCTTAGAACCCCGTTGTGGCCCGCGAGTCAAAGCAATTTGCCCCAACCCCTCCGCGTAGCCTGTAACAGACTGTTGGGGCGAGTGCTACTCGTCAAGGCGACTTCGTGGATCACACACCCCGTGCGCAGTAGTAACAACAACAATAACGACAACAATAACAACACCACGAGGTGCATGGCGGTGAGATTCTTCCTTCCCGTGTCGCTCTCGCTCCGCTTGCGCGAGGTGACAGCGACAATGTAGCAGCGGCGGCAGTAAGCGGCACCCAAGAGGGTTATCGCCACAGCGGCATGCACGGAGGGGGTGGGTGGCCAGCAGCTCCACGCCCGCAGTGACAGAAACAACAGCAGCCGCGACTCGCCACTAAGTGGCGGTGACGTCACCACGGGCGCTCGTGCCAGGCCATGTGCACCTTGAGTGTCGAACGCCCGCTGGCAGGAGGTCACGGTGGCAGACCCAGCAGGTGCCACGGGTCGACTGACTGAGATGACTGGCTGATGCACCACCTGTGCCCCCTACTGTGCCAACCTGCTGTGCTTTAGCCACCCGGCGCTCCGCTCGTTGTTGTGAGCGTCGCTCCTCCGCCCTCCGTTGTTGCTGGAGGGCGACTGCCTCCAACTGCCCAGTAGCGTCCTTCACGAGCCTCCTCCACAGAGGCCGATCTTGACACCGCTGGTACCGGTCATCGGCAAGTCCACTCAGCTCCACGTCCTCCTGTACCACGTCACTCCATCTCTTCTCTAGCCCGTGCCGCGCCCATTTAGCCCCCTCCATCCGGCCGAACAAAAGCTGTTTCGGCATGCGGTGGCTGGGCATGCGGGCTACATGACCCAGCCATCGCAGCCTTGCCCGCCGGAGGAGCTCACTGATGGAAATGTGTCCACATTTTTTAAGGTTTGTGACCTTAAACAATCCAGCCTGGTTAATGCCAAGATAGATCGGAGGCAGGCCAGCCTGATTGCTTCTAACCGGCGAAGATATTCCACGAGGAGGGGTCCACGTTTCACAACTGAAGAGAAGGGAGGGCATGACTTTGGCCAAGAAGACCTGAAGCTTCGTGTGGAGCAACAGACCAGGTTACTTCAACACAGCGTTACGCAACCGATGTATAGATAATGTCGCTCGACTGATTCGGAGTGAGTCCGGTCATGAGCACACTGCCCAGGTATGGGAAACTCTCCACTCTCTCCACAACTGCCCCATTACCAATTGGGAATTGTGGGGGTGGAGTGTCCGATGGTACAAAATACCCAGGCAGGTGCTTAGTTTTGGTGGGGCTGATGGTAAGGCCCCACCTCTTAGTTGCACGCTCCAGGTTCAGCAGCAGCGTCTCCAACTCCTCTTCTGAGTGAGCAGTAATTACCAGATCATTTGGAATATGAAACATACATCCAGGCAGCGATCAGCCGACCGTTGCATCTGTACCAGATGGAGATTTCTCGGGTACAGATATGGGAAGCTTCTTGAACTACGTGGTGGAGAAAGATGTAAACCAATGTAGCCACCAGAAGACATCCCTGTCGCACCTAAAACCAGCCACGCAGCTTGACCCGGGCCTGCCCTACCATCATGAAGGTCCTCAATGATTGTGAGCAGAGAGTGAGGGACTTCGAAAGCACGGAGAACAATCCATAGCCCATGTCTGTTGATGGTATCTTAGGCCATAACTTGGTCAATAAAGCAGAGATGTAGGTCCTGTTGGAATTCCCTACATCTCTTCTGTAACAGAAATATAATGTGGCATCTGTGCAGGACCGCCCTGGCCTGAAACCGCATTGGGGCTCCGCAAGCCTCTCCTCAGCGTGCCTGGCGAGGCGATGTTGAATAATCCTTGCCAGGACCTTTCCCGGCACACTGAGTTGGGGTTTGGCCAGGAGACGTCATAGACGCCTGGCCCCCCGGGGCCTCCGGCGCAAGCTTATTAGTTATATATTTAATTCGTGGTTTAGTGGTAATTAATTGAAGGTGAAGGGATTACCAGCCCCTCGCACCCGTCCAGAGCCCCCGTTTAGCCCCTGTGGTGGACACATGCCATGAGGGGAGGAGCCAATCAAAATTGGACCTCCCCCCACAGCACTGTCCATGACAGAGTTGCCCGTCTGGCACCGCGAGGAGGTAGGGGGTTGTGTGTGTGTGTGTCACACAGTGACACACACACACACAGTGACACACACACACAGTGACACACACACACAGTGACACACACACACAGTGACACACACACACAGTGACACACACACACACACACAGTGACACACACACAGTGACACACACACACAGTGACACACACACAGTGACACACACATACAGTGACACACACACACAGTGACACACACACAGTGACACACACACAGTGACACACACACACAGTGACACACAGACACAGTGACACACACACAGTGACACACAGACACAGTGACACACACACAGTGACACACACAGTGACACACACAGTGACACACACCTCCACAGTCACCATCGCCACCTCCACCTCCGTCATCTCCTCCATCCATCCCGGCTGCCCTTCTGCCCCTCCCGCGCCCTCCTCCTCCTCGTCCTCCTCCACCTCCTCGTCCACCTCCACCACCTCCTCCACCTCCTCCACCTCCTCCACTGCGTGTCACGCTGTGCGTGTGCACCAGCCAGAGGCCCGCCTCGTCCACGGCGATGGCGATGGTCGTGTGCGGCGACAGCGAGAAGGGGGTCGACGCTCCGGCGCCGGGGACGAGGGCCGAGTCGGCGAGGCTCCGGTTGCGGAGGTCGAACTTCACCAGCTCGTTCTCCGTGCCCGCGCGGTGGTAAAAGAGGAAGCCGCCGTACACGGCGTGGCCCGTGCCGGTGAAGTCGAACGGCAGCGGCACGGCGTTCGGGTGCGGAGGGGGAGAAGCTGCGGTGGGCGAGGAGGACGAGGAGGATGAGGAGGATGATGAGGATGATGAGGAGGATGAGGATGATGAGGAGGATGAGGATGAGGAGGAGGGGATCTTAGCGGCGGAGAAGGCCTTCGGGGAGGGGAAGTCGTAGACGTAGGAGCCCGTGGTGCCCGCGAGCAAGTAGACGCGGCCGAAGTCACGGATTGGGTCCCGCATCCACGCGCCCTCGGAGGGGCCCGCTCGCTTGAGGATCTTGAGCGAGCGGATGCCGGAGAGCATGTGGTCGCACTCTGGGTGACGGGGAGATGGTGGGGCAGAGAGAGCCACAGACTCATAGAGACCCACAGACTCATAGAGACCCACAGACTCATAGAGAGCCACAGACTCATAGAGACTCACAGACTCATAGAGACCCACAGACTCAAAGACTCATAGAGACCCACAGACTCAACACACACACAGAGAGCCACAGACTCATAGAGACCCACAGACTCACCACACAGAGAGAGCCACAGACTCACCACTCACAGAGACCCACAGACTCACCACACAGAGAGAGCCACAGACTCACCACACAGAGACCCACAGATTCACCACACAGAGACCCACAGACTCACCACACAGAGACCCACAGACTCACCACACAGAGAGAGCCACAGACTCACCACACAGAGACCCACAGATTCACCACACAGAGACCCACAGACTCACCACACAGGGACCCACAGACTCACCACACAGAGACCCACAGACTCACCACACAGGGACCCACAGACTAACCACACAGAGACACCCACATACTCATCACACAGAGACCCACAGACTCACCACACAGAGAGACCCATAGACTCACCACACAGAGACCCACACAGACTCACCACACAGAGAGACCCATAGACTCACCACACAGAGACCCACACAGACTCACCACACAGAGATACCCATAGACTCACCACACAGAGACCCACAGACTCACCACACAGAGACACCCACAGACTCACCACACAGACACCCACAGACTCACCACACAGAGACCCACAGCCTCACCACACAGACTCACCACCACCACCATCACCACCATCACCACCAACCCACCGTCGGACACTTTGAACGGCCTCTTATTCCGTCTCAGACGTTCCAGCTCCGCTTGCGAGGCCGTTGAGGCCGCTGACGACGAAGACGAAGACGAGGAGGAGGAGGAGGAGGAGAAGGAGGTCCCAATCTTCTTGCTGGACCTCGAAGATCCTCCTTCTCCTCCGTCTCCTCCGTCTTGTTCGCCGCTGGGATCGAGACCCCTCTGCTTGAGCTGCTGCTCCTGCTGCTGCTGCTGCTGCTGCTCCTCCTCCTGCTGCCGCTGTCGGACGACCTCCTCGTCCACCTCCACACAGGCGTGGCTGCCCTGCGCCTGCGTCTCCAAGTAGTCCACGTCTCGCTCCAGGCGCTCCATCCTCGACACGACGCCGTCCACCTGCACGCGGCAAGGAGCGGGGCCGGGGAGGGGACGGGGGGGAGGATGGTGACTCGCTGACTCGCTCACTGACTCACTCACTCGCTGACTCACTCGCTGACTCGCTGACTCACTCGCTGACTCACTCGCTGACTCACTCGCTGACTCACTCGCTGACTCACTCACTGACTCACTCGCTGACTCACTGACTCACTGACTCACTCACACACTGACTCACTGACTCGCTGACTCGCTGACTCACTGACTCGCTGACTCACTCACTCACTCACTGACTCGCTGACTCGCTGACTCACTCGCTGACTCACTCGCTGACTCGCTGACTCACTCGCTGACTCACTCGCTGACTCACTCACTGACTCGCTGACTCACTCGCTGACTCACTTACTGACTCACTCACTGAATCACTCACTCACTGACTCACTCACTCGCTGACTCACTCACCCACTGACTCACTGACTCGCTCACTCACTGACTCGCTGACTCACTGACTCACTGACTCGCTGACTCACTCACTCACTCACTGACTCGCTGACTCGCTGACTCACTCGCTGACTCACTCGCTGACTCGCTGACTCACTCACTCACTCGCTGACTCACTCACTCACTCGCTCGCTAACTTGCTCGCTGACTCACTCACTGACTCACTCGCTGACTCACTCGCTGACTCACTCACTGACTCGCTGACTCACTCGCTGACTCACTTACTGACTCACTCACTGATTCACTCACTCACTGACTCACTCACTCGCTGACTCACTCACTCACTGACTCACTGACTCACTCGCTGACTCACTCTCTCACTCACTGACTCACTTGCTGACTCGCTCACTGACTCACTGACTCACTCACTGACTCACTGACTCACTCACTGACTCGCTGACTCACTCACTGACTCATTCACTGACTCACTGACTCACTGACTCACTCACTGACTCGCTGACTCACTGACTCACTCACTCACTCACTGACTCGCTGACTCACTCACTCGCTGACTCACTCACTCACTGCTTCACTTACTCACTGACTGGTGGTGGTGATGCTATTGCTTGGCCCATGTCCTTGACACCAGGACCTACCATGGAGCTGATCTGCCCTCTGACCATCGATTAGTCATCTGTAAGATGCGCCTGCCATTCTTCCACTCCGGTGGTGGGTGTACACCCAGGACCCCATTCAAACCCATAGTGGCCTGGTCTCAGTTATCTGATGAAAGTTGCAAGCGAGAATTTCATCATCGCTTGTGGCTGGGGTTGGCATCGTCCCCGACTCCTCCTGATGTCGAGGGTAAATGGGCGAGGTTTAGGACTGTGACTCATGCAGCTGCAATGGCTGCTTTGGGTACACGGTCCAGACCTCCCCAGAGACCCTGGCTGAAAGAGGAGGTGTTCAGGATGGTTGAGAAAAGCGACAGGCCCACTGTCATCGGCTACAGAATCCCACGTCAGAGAATGAGGAGGCTTACCGCAGCCTTCGCTCGGAGGTTCGGAGAGCCGTGAGGCGCTGCAAGGATGGGTGGTGGTCGCGGGTTGCTGAGGAGATGGAGTCTGCCTCAGTGGCCCGCGATCACAAATCTCTATTTAACTCCATCAAAAAAGTAACCAGCAGCGCCACACCTATTACCATCATTAGGGGAAAAAACGGTGATCCAATCTCCGACCCCCAGGAACAGGTTTGCAGATTTGCTGAGCATTTCTGTGAGGTCCTGGGGGAGGGAAAATCCCTCAGCCAGGAAAACATCGTGGCACAAAGTGAGGATGACCCTGCTGAGGCTGCGGTGCCTCAAATATTGGAAGAAGTCACCCCCTGTGAGTGGCTGGCTGAGGTGCCATCTGTTGAGGAAGTACTGAAGGCGATCCAGAGTCTGAGACCAGGAAAGGCACCGGGCAGAGATGATCTCCCAAGCGAAATGCTGAGGGAGGGTGGCGTTTGTGCACAGACTGCCCTACATGACATCATAACAACAGTCTGGATCACTGGATGGGTTCCGCAGGATTGGAAGGATGCCCTGGTGGTCCCCCTCTTTAAAAATGGGGACCGCACAGACAACAACTACAAGGGCCATCTCACTCCTCAGTGTGTCGGGAAAGGTCCTGGCAAGGATTATCACACCCATAGACTCACACAGAGACCATAGATTTATAAAGACAACAGACTCATACAGAGACCCAAATACTCACACAGAGACTCATAGACTCACACATAGACCTACTCTATAGACTCACACAGAAAACCATAGACTCATGCATAGACCCATAGACTCACACAGAGACCCATAGACTCACACAGAGACCCATAGACTCACACAGAGACCCATAGACTCACACATAGACCTATAGACTCACACAGAAAATCATAGACTCACATAAAGATTCATAGACTTACATAAAAGACCCATAGACTCACACAGAGACCCATAGACTCACAAAAAGACTCATAGTCTTACACATAGACCTACAGACTCACACAGAGACCCATAGACTCACACAGAGACCCATAGACTCTCACAGACACCCATAGACACTCACAGACACCCATAGACACTCGCAGACACCCATAGACTCTCACAGACACCCGTAGACTCTCACAGACACTCACAGACACTCACAGACACCCATAGACACTCACAGACACCCATAGACTCACACAGACACCCATAGACTCTCACAGACACCCATAGACTCTCACAGACACCCATAGACTCACACAGACACCCTTAGACTCTCACAGACACCCATAGACTCACACAGACACCCATAGACACTCACAGACACCCATAGACTCTCACAGACACCCATAGACTCAAACATAGACTCATAGACTCATACAGACACCAATAGACTCTCACAGACACCCATAGACACTCACAGACACCCACAGACACTCACAGACACCCATAGACCCTCACAGACACCCACAGACACTCACAGACACCCATAGACTCTCACAGATACCCATAGACACTCACAGACACCTATAGACTCTCACAGACACCCATAGACTCACTCAGACACCCATAGACTCTCACAGACACCCATAGACTCTCACAGACACCCATAGACACTCACAGACACCCATAGACTCACTCAGACACCCATAGACTCTCACAGACACCCATAGACACTCACAGACACCCATAGACTCCCACAGACACCCATAGACTCTGACAGACACCCATAGACACTCACAGACACCCATAGACTCTCACAGACACCCATAGACTCTCAAAGACACCCATAGACACTCACAGACACCCATACACACTCACAGACACCCATAGACACTCACAGACACTCATAGACTCTCACAGACACCCATAGACTCACACAGACATCCATAGACTCACACAGACACCCATAGACTCTCACAGACACCCACAGACACTCACAGACACCCATAGTCTCACACAGACACCCATAGACTCACACAGACATCCATAGACTCACACAGACACCCATAGACACTCACAGACACCCATAGACTCTCACAGACACCCATAGACACTCACAGACACTCACAGACACCCACATACTCTCACAGACACCCATAGACACTCACAGACACCTATAGACTCACACAGTCACACATAGACACTCACAGACACCCACAGACTCACACAGACACCCATAGACACTCACAGACACCCATAGACTCTCACAGACACCCATAGACACTCACAGACACCCATAGACACTCACAGACACCCATAGACTCTCACAGAGACCAATAGACTCACAGAAAGACTTAGTCTTACACAGAGACCCACAGACTCACCCAGAGACCCATATACTTACACAGATACCCATAGACTCACACAAATACCAATAGACTCACACAGAGACTTATACACTTACACAGAGACTCATACACTTACACAGAGACCCATAGACTAACACAGACACCCATATACACTCACAGAAAGACTCATAGTCTTACACAGACACCCATAGACTCACACAGAGACCCATATACTCACACAGAGACCCATATACTCACACAGAGACCCATAGACTCACACAGAGACTCATACACTTACACAGAGACCCAGACTTACACAGACACCCATAGACTCTCACAGACACCCATATACACTCACAGAAAGACTCATAGTCTTACACAGACACCCATATACACTCACAGAAAGACTCATAGTCTTACACAGACACCCATAGACTCTCACAGACACCCATAGACTCTCACAGACACCCATAGTCTTACACAGACACCCATAGACTCTCACAGACACCCATAGACTCTCACAGACACCCATAGACTCTCACAGACACCCATAGACTCACACAGACACCCATAGACTCACACAGACACCCATAGACTCACACAGACACCCATAGACTCTCACAGACACCTATAGACACTCACAGACACCCATAGACACTCACAGACAGCCATAGACTCTCACAGAGACCCATAGACTCTCACAGAGACCCATAGACTCTCACAGAGACTCATAGACTCACACAGAGACCCATAGACTCACTCAGACACCCATAGACTCTCACAGACACCCATAGACACTCACAGACACCCATAGACTCCCACAGACACCCATAGACTCTGACAGACACCCATAGACACTCACAGACACCCATAGACTCTCACAGACACCCATAGACTCTCAAAGACACCCATAGACACTCACAGACACCCATACACACTCACAGACACCCATAGACACTCACAGACACTCATAGACTCTCACAGACACCCATAGACTCACACAGACATCCATAGACTCACACAGACACCCATAGACTCTCACAGACACCCACAGACACTCACAGACACCCATAGTCTCACACAGACACCCATAGACTCACACAGACATCCATAGACTCACACAGACACCCATAGACACTCACAGACACCCATAGACTCTCACAGACACCCATAGACACTCACAGACACTCACAGACACCCACATACTCTCACAGACACCCATAGACACTCACAGACACCTATAGACTCACACAGTCACACATAGACACTCACAGACACCCACAGACTCACACAGACACCCATAGACACTCACAGACACCCATAGACTCTCACAGACACCCATAGACACTCACAGACACCCATAGACACTCACAGACACCCATAGACTCTCACAGAGACCAATAGACTTGCACTGAGACCCGTAGACTCACACATTGACCCATAGACTCACACAGAGACTCATACACTTACACAGAGACCCATAGACTCACAGAAAGACTCATAGTCTTACACAGACACCCATAGACTCACACAGATACCCATAGACAGACACCCATAGACTCACACAGATACCCATAGACTCACACAGAGATTCATACACTTACACGGAGACCCATAGACTCACAGAAAGACTTAGTCTTACACAGAGACCCACAGACTCACCCAGAGACCCATATACTTACACAGATACCCATAGACTCACACAAATACCAATAGACTCACACAGAGACTTATACACTTACACAGAGACTCATACACTTACACAGAGACCCATAGACTAACACAGACACCCATATACACTCACAGAAAGACTCATAGTCTTACACAGACACCCATAGACTCACACAGAGACCCATATACTCACACAGAGACCCATATACTCACACAGAGACCCATAGACTCACACAGAGACACATACACTTACACAGAGACCCAGACTTACACAGACACCCATAGACTCTCACAGACACCCATATACACTCACAGAAAGACTCATAGTCTTACACAGACACCCATATACACTCACAGAAAGACTCATAGTCTTACACAGACACCCATAGACTCTCACAGACACCCATAGACTCTCACAGACACCCATAGTCTTACACAGACACCTATAGACTCTCACAGACACCCATAGACTCTCACAGACACCCATAGACTCTCACAGAGACCCATAGACTCACACAGACACCCATAGACTCACACAGACACCCATAGACTCTCACAGACACTCACAGACCCTCACAGACACTCACAGATTCTCACAGACACCCGTAGACTCTCACAGACACCCATAGACTCTCACAGACACCCATATACACTCACAGACACCCATAGACTCTCACAGACACCCATAGACTCACACAGACACCCATAGACTCACACAGAGACTCATACACTTACACAGAGACCCAGACTTACACAGAGACCCATAGACACTCACAGAAAGACTCATAGTCTTACACAGACACCCACAGACTCTCACAGACACCCACAGATTCCCGCAGGGTGGTGGGGTGGGGTGGGGGGGTGGGTTTTGGCCACCTCCAGATCCGCTCCGTGGTAACGTAGCGCGCCCACACGCTGACCGCACGGCTCGCGAGCCCTCCTGCGGTGTCTGTGCCACCCCTGGGTGCGCTCCGTGGCCACTGCTTCCCGTACCTGCTCCGTGAGCCCCGCGCGGTCCTGCTCGGCCATGTCGGAGCGCCGCAGGAGGTCCTTCTTCACCTCGCGCGTCTCCGTCACGTAGCGGGCCAGCTCCTCCAGCACACGCTGCAGACGCTCCTGGCGCGTATCACGGGGGGTCACGGTCACGGGGGTCAGGGTTCACGGGGGTCAAGGTCACGGGGGGGTCAGGGTTCACGGGGGGCACGGTCACGGGGGGGTCAGGGGCACGGGGGTTACGGTCAGGGGGTCAGGGTGACGGGGGTTACGGTCAGAGGGTGAGGATGACGGGGGTCACGGTCAGGGGTCAGGGTGACGGGGGTCAAGGTCAGGGGGTCAGGGTCAAGGAGTCAGGGTGACGGGGGGTCACTCTTACTCTGTCTCTCTGTCTCTCTGTGTCTCTGTTTCTCTCTCACTCTCTGTCTCTCTCTCTCTGTCACTCATTCTCTGTCTCTCACTCTGTGTCTCTCTCTGTCTCTCACTCTCTGTCTCTCACTCTCTGTCTCTGTCTCTCACACTCTCTCACTCTCTGTCTCTCTCTCTCTGTCGCTCACTCACTCTCTGTCTCTCTCTATATGTCTCTGTCTCTCTCTGTCTCTCTCTCACTCTCTGTCTCTCTGTCTCTCACACTCTATCTCACTCTCTCTTTCACACTCTCTCACTCTATGTCTCTCTCTCACACTCACTCTCACACTCTGTCTCTCTCACACTTTCTGTCTCTCTCACTCTGTGTCTCTGTCTCTCTGTGTCTCTCACCTCCACACCGGAGACCCTGCGGTCGATGTACTGCATGTACGCGATGTCCGACGACGCGTCTCTCTGTGTCTCTCACTCACTCTCTGTCTCTCTGTCTCTCACTCTCTGTCTCTCTGTCTCTCTGTGTCTCTCACTCACTCTCTGTCTCTCTGTCTCTCTGTCTCACACTCTGTCTCTCACTCTCACTCACTCTCTCTGTCTCTCACTCTCTGTCTCTCTGTCTCTCACTCTCTGTCACTCTCTCACACTCTCTCACTCACTCTCTGTCTCTCTGTGTCTCACTCTCTGTCACTCACTCTCTGTCTCTCTGTCTCTCACTCTCTGTCTCTGTCTCTCACTCTCTGTCTCTCTGTGTCTCTCACTCACTCTCTGTCTCTCTGTCTCTCTGTCTCACACTCTGTCTCTCACTCTCTCTCACTCTGTGTCTCACACACTCTGTCTCTCACTCTCTCTGTGTCTCACTCTCTGTCTCTGTCTCTCTGTGTCTCACTCTCTGTCTCTCTGTGTCTCTCACTCACTCTGTCTCTCTGTGTCTCACTCTCTGTCTCTCTGTCACTCATTCACTCTCACTCTCTGTCTCTCTGCCACTCACTCTCTGTCTGTCAGTCACTCTCACTCTCTGTCTCTCTCTCTCACTCTGTGTCTCACACACTCTGTCTCTCTCACTCTCTGTGTGTCTCACTCTCTGTCTCTGTCTCTCTGTCTCTCTGTCTCTCACTCACTCTCTGTCTCTCTGTCACTCACTCTCTGTCTCTCACTCTGTCTCTCACTCTCACTCACTGTCTCTCTGTCTCTCACTCTCTGTCACTCACACTCTCACTCTCTGTCTCTCACTCTGTGTCTCTCACTCTCTGTCTCTGTCTCTCTGTCTCTCTGTCTCTCACTCACTCTCTGTCTCTCTGTCACTCACTCTCTGTCTCTCACTCTGTCTCTCACTCTCACTCACTGTCTCTCTGTCTCTCACTCTCTGTCACTCACACTCTCACTCTCTGTCTCTCACTCTGTGTCTCTCACTCTCTGTCACTCACACTCTCACTCTCTGTCTCTCACTCTGTGTCTCTCACTCTCTGTCTCTCACTCTCACTCACTGTCACTCTCTCTCTGTCTCTCTGTCTCTCACTCTCACTCACTCTGTGTCTCACTCTCTGTGTCTCACCTCCACACCGGAGACCCTGCGGTCGATGTACTGCATGTACGCGATGTCCGACGACGCGTCTCTCTGTGTCTCTCACTCATTCTCTGTCTCTCTGTGTCTCACACTCTCTGTCTCTCTCTGTCTCTCACTCACTCTCTGTCTCTCTGTCTCTCTATGTCTCACTCTCTGTCACTCACTCTCTGTCTCTCACCCTCTGTCTCTCTGTGTCTCTCAGTCACTCTCACTCACTGTCACTCACTCTCTGTCTCTCACTCTCTGTGTCTCTCACTCACTCTCTGTCTCTCTGTGTCTCACTCTCTGTCTCCGTCTCTCTGTCTCTGTGTCTCTCACTCACTCTCTGTCTCTCACTCTCACTCACTGTCACTCACTCTGTGTCTCTCACACTCACTCTGTGTCTCACACACTCTCTGTCTCTCTGTGTCTCTCACTCTCTCTCTCACACTCTCTCACTCATTCTCTGTCTCTCTGTCTCTCACTCTCTGTCTCTCTGTCACTCATTCACTCTCACTCTCTGTCTCTCACTCTCACTCACTCTCTCTGTCTCTCGCTCTCTGTCTCTCACTCTCTGTCTCTCTGTCTCTCTCTCTAACACTCTGTCTCTCACACTCTCTGTGTCTCTCACTCTGTCTCTCTGTCTCACACTCTGTCTCTCTCACTCTCCGTGTCTCTCACCTCCACACCGGAGACCCTGCGGTCGATGTACTGCATGTACGCGATGTCCGACGACGCGTCTCTCTGTGTCTCACTCACTCTCTGTCTCTCTGTGTCTCTCACTCACTCTCTGTCTCTCTGTGTCTCACTCACTCTCTGTCTCTCTGTGTCTCTCACTCACTCTCTGTCTCTCTGTGTCTCTCACTCACTCTCTGTCTCTCTGTGTCTCTCACTCACTCTCTGTCTCTCTGTCTCTCACTCTCTGTCTCTCTGTCTCTCTGTGTCTCTCACTCACTCTGTCTCTCACACTCACTCTGTCTCTCACACACTCTGTCTCTCACTCTCTCTCTCTATCCCTCACTCTCTGTCTCTCACTCACTCTCTGT